GATTGTCATCGTCGATTTCTTCCCATTCACCACCCATACCGAAGAAACAAGAAATTTTTCAGCCACAAAAGGGTTGTCAGAGACACTCCTCCTCCATATTTAACTGGAGAACAAATCGAAGCGCAAATCGATTACTACTGTGCTCTGAAAACAGCTCCTCGTGGTGGGAATTGGCATGTTCCCAGTAATATGTCTGATTCTTATGGTGTTCAGCACAATTGGCACAAAAAGAGTATATTTTGGGAATTGCCATATTGGAATGATCTTCTTTTGCGCCACAACCTCGATGTGATGCATATAGAGAAGAACTTTTTTGAGAACATCATGAACACTATATTGAATGTCCCAGGGAAGACGAAAGACAACGTAAAATCAAGGTTNGACTTACCCGATATCTGCTCAAGGAGTGAGCTACATATAAAAAGCAATGGGCAAGTTCCAGTTCCAATATTCAGACTGTCATCAGAAAAAAAGTATGCGTTGTTCAACTGGGTGGCTTCAGAAGTGAAGTTCCCTGATGGGTATGTTTCAAATCTCTCAAGATGTGTTGAGAAAGGGAAAAAGTTCTCCGGGATGAAGAGCCATGATTGTCATGTCTTTATGCAGCGACTACTTCCCTTTGCGTTTGCGGAGCTACTGCCGGCAAAAGTACATGAAGCACTTTCAGGTAAATAATTAATATAATACGATAACATGATTAATTTATTTATATATATATATATACTAATGTGGAAATTTTTGTTTTCGTATATATATAAGGAATTGGAGCATTTTTAGGGATTTGAGCACCCGCACTCTTAAAGTGGAAGTTGTCCAACAACTTCATGAAAACATCCCCGACTTAATCTGCAACTTGGAGAAAATTGAAAGAGGTTTGGTGGTCGAGTGATGAAGACGTCCATAGTGCACACCTTTATATTCTTCTTAATTGCGAGCATCCATTGATTACTTATTTTGAAAGGTAAATATATAAACATACACACTTATATATATATATATATATTTCAATATTAAATATATAACATAACATATATGATTTTACAGTCAATTTGAGACTCAAGTCGAGGAAGCAATACCTGGTATATCGACAACTGAGTTAGACAAAAGGAAAGATCAACACTTTATCAAGTGGTTGAGGAAACAGTTATTTATTTATTACTTAAATTGTATGCATACTTTACCACAAAGTAAGTCTAATGTATTTTAATTTTTGTTGCAGGTTGATTATGACGATCCTAAGTATCCCGCATGGTTTCGCGTATTACTTCAAGGTCCAGTTGCAAAGGTCACGATCCTACGACTATGGTAGCCACCGGGCGACAAGTAATTATGGAATATGTGTGAAAGGCGAAACAGATTTCTACGGGATCTTGCAGAAGATTTATGAAGTTCAATTCCCGGGTATGGGTTTGAAATGCGTTATCTTCAAGTGTGCGTGGTACGACCCCGTCGTAAACAGAGGTGTTCAGATTAACAAGAACGGTGTAGTTGATGTCAACGGTGGACGAAGGTACACCAAATTTTTTTTTTTAATATCCAGGTTTAATATTAATTAATTTTTACGTATTGATCTTTATTTTCGTAGGTACAACAAGTTCGAGCCTTTCATATTAGCTTCCCAAGCAGATCAAGTTTGCTTCATTCCATACCCTCGGATTACTACCTCGGGAATAAACTGGTTAGCTTATCAAAGTTACACCTCGAGGAAGAATAATCGCTGGAGAAGAACCACCATTACAAGAAGAAAACACCAATGAGATCGAGGAAGCTGAAACAGAAATTGATGACATCCTACTCATTGATCCGCATAATCGTCAATACGAAGATGTTCCTGATCACTCAACGGACGAAGGTGTAGACGACGAGTTTTTAGAAAATGATGATGTTTTAACAGATTACGACAATGTATCCGAATGAATTATGTATGTTTATAAGTTCGTTTAATCACAAAATCAATTTGGATTATATATGTTTTAAGTTTGTTTAATCACAAAATCAATTTGGATTATATATGTTTTAAGTTTGTTTAATCACAAAATCAATTTCCATTTGGGGTTTATGTGTAGAAGAGGTTAGGAGTTTGGTTGTAGAAGAGGTTATAAGTTAAGGAAGTTGTGGTTTGGGGTTTGGGGTTTCGAGTTTAGGGATTTATAAAACCTTTCCTCGTAAAGCCCTAGTAATAGAAAACATGGGCATAGCAATTTCCTCGTAATGTTCTAGTAAGGTCTTACTAGGGCTTTACGAGGAAAAAAACGCGGGCATAGCTATTTCCTCGTAAAGGGTTTTCCTCGTAAAGCCCTAGTACAGTCATTATGAGGACCTTACGAGGAAATAAAAAAACGGGCATAGCTATTTCCTCGTAAGGTCCTAGTAACATTACTAGGGCTTTACGAGGAAACAAAATTCTTTATATATACTCGAGCAATCCGGTTTCTCATTTGCTAGTAACCTTCTCTCTAAATCCTCTAAAGGTTCTCTCTAATCCGTAGTTAGGTGATTAGATTAAGGAATTTAGATTAGGTGGTTAGTTTAGGGAATTTAGATTAGGTGGTTAGTTTAGGTAATTTTGATTAGGTGGTTAGTTTAGGTAATTTAGATTAGGTTGGTTTACTTTTAGTTACTGTTTTTTTTAAATTATACGGGGATTAATGTTTTGTTTTAAGAAAAAAAAAAATATAGATGCCTAGACAGAGCAAGCTTGCTAAGGCTGCTGCTAAGAGGACGTCGTCTCTCGAGGGGATAAGCTACAGAGATATGTTTGGGCGTCAGGATGCTCCGGGTTCATCCTCGTCAGCTCCCGGTGGTTCATCTTCGGGAGTTCCCGAGACTCAGGGAGTATCTACGACATCCCGGTCTCAGCAGCCACCTCCTCCTCCTCCTTCTCCTCCTCCTCCACCGGTCGGGGTTCATCCCGATTTGCAGGTGCCGCCGAACGCACCCTTTGCGGTGTACACGGTGGAGGATATTTTGGCCCTTCCAGGCAAAGAAGGGCTGGCAGAGTTATATCCTTACCGACGGGACGGCCAAAACATATTATGGTATGTTTTAATTTTTAAAAAGTTTTTTAATTTATTTCTTAATTAACAAAATATTTAGAAATTAATCTAATTAATTATTTATTTTGTGTCTTTCCAGGTTTGGTCTTGACAATAGTGTCGGATCTAGCGTCACAGACTGTATCAAGGGATACTTTCCCGATCCAGCTCCAAACTGGAAGATGACGGCGAGCCGCACAAAAAAAGATGTGGTTCAAATTGTTCGCTGTAAGTTTAGTTTGTTAATTTACTTTTAATTATTTAAAATTATTAATATAATTAAACTAATCCGTCTTTTATTTTTTCTGGTTACAGCAAAAGTATCGTTGGTCTATTGGGATTCACCAGCGAGTGAAGAAGGAGTTTGAGGCCAAGGCAAGAGCACGATTGCTCGACATGGTCTACAACTGGAAGGGCGACTATGAGGTATAGATTTATAAATTATAATATATATATATATATATATAGTTTTAAAAATATTATATATTGACTTTAATTCTAATTTTTTTTTTAAATCAGGTGGATGGTTACGAGGCCGGGAAACCTGATTGCCTCACAACCACGGTGTGGGATGGCCTCATCAGCTATTGGAGGTTGCCGGACTCGGTCAGAACCTCAAACACAAACTCCAGGAACCGCATGACCAAAGACGAGCATGGCAACACGAAGGTGCTTCACACCACGGGTCGAAAACCTCACCGGGGAGTTCGTCTAGACATGGTAAGATGATTTTTAATAACAATTTAATTTTATTTTATTTGAATATTCCAAATTAATATTTAATTTTATAAATTAATTTTAGGCTAAGGAGACTGGAGTTCTTCCATCTCTGAAAGACCTTTACGAGAGGACCCACCGGAACAAGGTTGGGCAGTTTGTAGATCCTGCTTCCGAGCGGATCTACAACGAGCTTGTTGCCCGAGTTAACGAACGCCAGACCCAGCTGATTCAGCAGACTGGGTCTCCAGTCATATTATCCACTGTTGACGTGGATAAGATTTACGAGGAGGTAAATAATTTTTTTTACTATTAATTTTTAATATTTTTTAAATTTTTCGTAATGTTATTAATATTTTTATTTTCAGGTCGCCCCGAGGAAAAAGGGGCGTATCATCAGGATTGGCTCGGTTAACGATGTCCCTGCAGCGACATCGTCTTATCATCAGGAGCAGCACGATGTCAATGCTCAGCTGCGCTCGGAGTTGCAGGCGATGCAGTCTCATGTGACTTCGCTCACCGAGCATGTCACTTCTCTCACCGATGTCCTCGACATTATGGCGGTTGGAAACCCGCATGTGTAGGAGATGTTGCGTCAGAGATGGGAATGTGCAGGGATTCCAAGTACCCAACAGCATCCACCATCACAGTCACAGCCGACAACCAAATATGGAGAGTATTTGCCGAGCCAGGACGACGACCAGTTCGTTCAGCAATTTCACGACCAGCATCCGTAGTTTCTTTTATTTTTAATTGTATATTATGAATTTAAAAACTTTTTGTATATTATTTAGTTATTTATAAAATATTTTGTTTTTTATATTTTTTTTATAATTTGATTTTCTTTATTTTAAAAAAATAAATTAATTATTTGTAATTATTTTTTTAATAGGGAAAAAACATTTCCAAGCAAAATCCTCGTAAGCTATTCCAAGTAATGTCCTCGTAACGAGATCTAGTAATTTCCTCGTAATATATTACTACGACCTTACGAGGAAACACTTACTACGAGTTTACGAGGACAGCTTACGAGGACCTTACGAGGAAAATATCACCATGCCTTTACGAGGAAACATTTCCTCGTAAATTCGCTAGGACCTTACGAGGAAAATGACTTTACGATGAACGTGTTTCAAGGAAACGTGTTTCCTCGTTATTTCCTAGTAAAAGGCCATTTACTAGGAAATAACGAGGAAAACCCGTCCTAGTAATGGACGAGTTTTCTTGTAGTGGACATCCTTACATCTTCTACCTAGTGCACCCATCACAAATGTTTTTTCTCATTTGTGGATCTTCAAACCTGAATTTGGACTAAAATAATAAAACATACAATGAATCATCAGCCCAAAATAACATCTTAAGATATCTTAAGAATAAAAAATTGATAGAGAGGAAGCATGTGTCACCTAAATTACTTCCCATGCCTTGTTCTTAATGTGAGGATAAACCATCCTCCAATCACTATAGTTGATGGGTAGCAAATTCACATCATTACTTAATTGACATAACCATGATCCTAGTAGACCTCCTGACTCTCCGATTGATTGTCCGCTATCTTCATCAAAGTGCACAATCACTTTACTGTTTTGAAATTTCCAGACATCTTTAAATGTTACCATTTTTCCTTCGATATTTCCTTCATTATCTTGTTCATGAGAAAAAATAATATAAAGAAAAATTAAATTAGCATATAACATATATCTCAGTTCTAACCATTCGAATAAGAGAAAGTATATTATCTACGCAAGACATAACGCAAAATATAAATGTTGATTTTATCCTTCAATGTTAATAGGTACTAAGAAGTATATTCTCCTTTTGATAAAGTTCACTGAGCACAAATACAAAAAAAAATCAATAAAATTAAATCTTCCTTCATCGCATAAACAAACATGTTTGACTAAAACTAATGGTGGACAAATAATTATGTACTGCAATATGATACGAGTTCAATCAGACTTTCTCATCCTAGTCATTTTAAAGTATCTGCACACTTTAACGTTTTTTTTAAAAAAATAACTTTCTAAATAAATTAAAGAGAGAGTTTTAGTTTATATTACCTATGACTTCTACTTTCCACTTAAAGCTTTTGCATTCAGGAGCAAATTCATGAGGTGTGTCATAATCTGTTTCCCAAAGTGGTGAATCATCTGGTTCTTGTGTCTCTTAATCCATGATCCTAAAATAATTGAAATAAATGAATTTGTGAATATATTATTCCTTTCTCATCTGTGTAAAGTGAAGAGAACAGTTAAATTCCAAAACAATTGAATTCGAGAATTAGGTTACCTTGATCCTACGCTATCTTATCAACCTTCACTCTTTGATGGTCACAAGCGGTTTCTTCTGGAGACGCGAGAGAGTGTTTAGAAACCCTGAATCCAACAATTTAATTAGTTGTGGTTAGCGATGCCAAAATAATTTTTTTTTGTGCTCATGTATACGTGGGACCGTAAAACTAGTTAGGATGATAGTTAAAAAAAAAATATCTAAACACAAAATCAATTCTCGCTTTGGATGATAAATTAAGAGGGATGTAGATTTTTTCACTTATTTTTAGATTTGTTAGTTTGTGTGTTGGTCATGTTCGTACGTATAACACGTAAAATTAGTTAGGATTACAAAATCGTAAAATGTACTACCCATTAAAAGAACTTAACATTTTGCAATTTGTCTCTCTCTCTCTATATATATATATATTTCTTTTGATAAGGATGTGAATTTCATTTATCAAATGAGAGTGATTGTACTGGTACAAATGTTTAAAAGGTGAAGCAATCCCAAGCCAAAAAAAAAAAAAAAAACAGAGGAAAGCTTAAGTAAGACTAAAGATAGTGGTCTACTCGCAGACTTGTAAGAGCCTATAAATCAAAGCTTGAAGTGTTAGTTTGCGCAGAGTAAAAGGATAGTGGTCAACTCGCAGACTTGTTTCTACATATTCTCTTCTCTTTTTTTTTTCCTTTGATCTTTCTCTTATATTTTCATTGATCACTTGTTTTGTTTTTTGACGTCATGATCTCGTTTCGTCTATAATTGTGAACCTTCACCGAATTCTTAACACTTCAGTTTGGTGTTTAGTATTTTCGTCAAACATGTACGTGGTGGCACCGCAGTGATACAGGGTCTGATTGCACCGGCCGGAGCTCGTAGATACTCGCACTAGTTGTCACAACGTACAAAAAAGATAGTTACATCTCCACCAATTTAATCTCCATCTACTTTGATCTTTCAAGTAAGACAAGCATGCAAGAAACAGCTCAATACTTCTGGAGCGTGGTGCAAGAAATCAAGTGACCGTTCTTGGACTGCATCTTAAGGAGCTTCTGGTTCTTGAGTATGCTCATGTCATTGGAGGATTAGAGGATTATAGAGGAGAAGTCACGTCATTGAGAATTTACCTGAGCGTTGGAAGTAATGGCCAATAGTTCAAATAAGGGAAACTTCAAGTGTCCTTGTGTCATATAGCTAGTTAAATGAATAAGAAAGGAAATTAAGTAGTGTACCGATTTTTGATGTGAGCTTGGCCACTGACATATATATATAGGGTTATAAATTCAAAAGAGATAGTGGAAAAAGCTACTAAACCGGCAAAGGAGTGGTAGTCGTCACTTCCATCCCGTAAACAAAACTCTGTTTCAACTAAAGACTACCCACAAACGAACTCATTACCTCAGGTTCCAGTAAACGCTCATACAGAGACGACGTATAAAAGATAACTGGTTCAGATTCAACTTATTATTTTAAGAAAAAACTCTCGACAATAAGAAAAGAAAAGTAGTCTTTATTCTGAAGAAGAAAACACATAACGTTATAAATATCTTTTGTCCCAAAGAAACAGTACGATCAGATTCATCTTCCAACTAATCTGAATCATTTGAATCACCCATGTCATATGTATCTCTAGGCTGAACACGAACAGAAATATTCCATTCTATTTCAGAAGGATCTTTCACATAATATACCATTCTTGCTTGAGATGCCAGTATGTATGGTTCGTCCTTTCATCCCCAATGGGTAAGTGCCGTGAAAAATTTACCATATGATAGACCATATGCATCCATTTTATATCCTCGTTCTGTATGAGTGTCCACCCACTTACACTTAAATAACACAACTTTGAAAACTTCATAGTAGTTTAGCTCCAAAACTTCAATTAGGTTGCTATAGTAAGAAACAGTTCCTGTTCTTGGATTAGAATCACGAGAACTAGCATAACTCATAGTCTCAGCAGCCACATACACACCGCTATTTTGTGTTTTCAGGTTAGCTTCTCTTTCTGATGTCCGAAATTTGGAACCATTGACATTGTAAGCTGTATACTATAAAGCCTTTTCGGATGGACCCAAAGCTAAGCATCGTAAATCATCAGTTATCCCCTCTAGCTCATTGTTCTCTACTTTCTTTTTGATCCATTTTGAAAAGTTAAGATGCACTTCTCGGTCAATGTCGATAGCACGACAGCTCTTGCTCTGATGAGACTGCTTCGTCAACAACTCATTTGTATACTTCCTAAAAAGACAGTTAACATAAATTTTACATTAGAGACCTTTAGGTAACATAATTAAAATAATTGTTCTTGAATGATAGACACTTACTCTCTTAAGTGATCAAGTTGTTGACAATTGACCAATATATGTCGATGTGCTTGTTGTCTCTCTACATGATTAAGAGTATGAACATGACCGGCTCCAACAAATCTTCCATGTTTTGGGAAAATAAGTGGAAGTTCTGTATTTTGTCTTATGCTAGTCTCAGCTAGAGATCGATCAACTACACGTCCAGTCCGAGTAAATCGTGTCTCTATATCATTGAGTACATTGAGCAGAATGTTACACTCATCAGCTAGATACTGTTCACATATAGAACCTTCAGGCTTAGCGCGATTCCTCACATATGATTTGAAGTGTCACAGAGTCCATTAAATAACTGAATCAAGTAAGTTTTCAACTGTGTGTATATATATACAAACATAAAATGAAAAATTATACCTCTCAATCGGATACATCCACCGAAAAGGAACTGGTCCCCCGAATTTTGCCTCTTCTGTGAGATGTACTTTTAAATGTACCATTACTGTGAAAAATGATGGAGGAAAAAACATCTCCATACGACATAAAGTCACCATAATACGGTCTTGTAATCTATCAAGCTCATCGATAACCAACACCTTTGCGGATATATCTCTAAAACACTGACAAAGCTCGAAAATGGCTGATGACACATCTGCTGGGAGCAGATTCCGAATTGCAACTGAAAATAAGTCTCTCATTATCACGTGACAGTTGTGGCTTTTTAAGCCTGATAGCTTTCGACCATTAATATCAACACAACTTGCTAAGTTAGAAGCATAACCATCTGGTAGTTTTACATTCTTTAAGACACTTAGGAAATTGTCTTTCCCATGGCTGTCAAGAGAAAAAAACATGCAGTTTGATACTTCTCATTATCATTAGGCCACAAATCAGAACGTATACCTAGCTCCCGAAGATCTTTTCTAGCACTCAGATTATCTTTTGATTTTTTTTGTCACCCAACAATGTGTAGGCTAGATTATCAAACACATTCTTCTCTGTGTGCATGACATCCAAATTGTGTCGCAGCTTTGTAAATTCCCAATAAGACATCTAAAAAATATACTTTTTTTCTTCCATTGCTGAGTACTAGATCTTCCATTGTCACTTCGATCTCTCTTTCTTCCAACCCCCACTAAAAAATTCTTCTTACCAAGAGTAACATTAACTTCTTGAAATTGATGAATAATTGTAGAACCTGCCAATGTGGCTGGTGGAGCTCTGGTTTCTATTTTTCCGTCAAAATGTTCCCTATTCAAACGAAAGGCATGATCTAGTGGAAGAAAACGCCGATGACCAATAAAACAATTATTTTTTCTATGGAGTAAACGTTGCCCGATGCCATCATAGTTACAGGTTGGACAAGCTGATGATGTATATATATATATATATATATATATTCATACCCGACAAATTTCCTAAACCAGGAAAATCGCTAGTTGTCCACATGAAAGTTGCTCGTATGTTAAATGTTTGTTTTGCAGAAGCATCTAGTGTTTCAATCCCCTCAAACCATAACTCCTTCAACTCTTTAATAAGTGGCTGCAAGTAGACATCAATATTACTACCAGGCATCTGTTTTTCAGGGATAACCATAGAAAGGATCATTGACGTCTGCTTCATTGACATCCATGGTGAAAAGTTATAAGGAAATAACATCACTGGCCATGCTATAACTACTACTCATTGTACCAAATGGGTGAAAACCATCAGTAGCCAATCCTAACCTGATATTTCTTGGATCAGATGCAAATTCAAGATATTTTTGATCAAATTCCTTCCAAGCCCTCCCGTCTCTTGGATGGCGAAGCTTACAATCGTTGTTACTAGTAGATGAATGCCATTTCATGTGAGTAGCAGTTTTTGATGACATGAATAAACGCTGTAGCCGTGGCTTCAAAGGAAAATAACGCATAATTTTGCCAGGAGCTTTACTTTTTTGCTGCTCTGATCCAGATATAGTGCTCTCTGTAGAATTATTGTTTTTCCAACAAGAGGTTTCACAAACTTTGCATTTTGCCCTTTCTGCATCAGCCTCCCACTATAAC